GCATACTTGCAGTACATATAAATAAATATTTTTCACAAGTTTGTGCCTTTGTCTACATGGTCTTCTCTGGATTTCCCAGTACTAGCCTTACTATTTGCTCAAAAGCTCTCATTCAAATACTGTGTTTTTCTTATGAAATTGTCTCTAGTGTATATACAAAAAATATATTTAATGTGTGTACATATGTAGATAGATAAATAGGTGGGTGGGTGGGTGGATAGATAGATAGAGGAATATAAGAACACAAACAATAACCCAACTTAAAAAATAGAGCATTACAGAACTTTTGAAGATGCCTATGAGCATACCATAATCGCACTCCCAAACTCCAGAGTTGACCACTATTCTGAAATTTGTGTTAACTACACCTTGTTTTTCTGTACAGAATTTCCTCTAATAAATCCCTTTGTTTACTGTGCCTTCACAAAAATGAGACCATATGACATGTGTCCCCATGAATTACTACTTCCAGTCAATCCTGTGTTTTGAAATTAATCTGATTTTTGCACCATAGTTTATTTTCTTTCTCTTGTACAGTATTCTATTGTAAGAAATACTATATTTTAATATATTCATTCTATTGATGGGAAATGGGGACTTTTCAAGTTTATTGCTTTTCAAGTTTATGCTGAAGCATCCTTTTTTTGTTTTTCACTTATTTTTATTGCTACAACATTGATTTATAACAACATGTATTATTCAAAGGATCACACCTCTTCAAATGAACGTCACCACATGACACCTACCACCAAGGCACCATTGCGCATTGTTCCTCTTCCTGTTTATGCTTTCCTCTCTTTCCTTCCCAGTATTGTAGCCTCAATTCAACAGTTACATTTCTAGGGTTTATTGTTACCTTGATTTTGTCTGTTCCTTTGTTTTGCTTCTCTACATTCTACATATACATGAAATCATCTCGTATTTGCCTTTCTCCTTCTGACTTATTTCATTTAGCATTATTCCTTTCAATTCCATGTTGTCATTAATGGAAAGAATGCACCTTTTTTATATGTGAGTAGTATTCCATTGTTTATATATATACCACATCTTTCTAATCCAATCATCTGTTTTCGGACTCTTAAGTTGTTTCCATAATTTGGCTATGTGAATAGGGCTGCAATGAACATAGGAGTACATATATGCTTTGGAATTCATGTTTTTGCATTCTTTGGGTAGATACCTAGGCATAGAATTGCTGGAACATATGGTAGACCTATGTTTAATGTTTTTCAGAATCTCTGTACTGTTTTCCAAAGAGGTTGGTCCAATCTAGATGCTAGCAACAGTATTTGATAGTTCCTTTTTCTCCACATTCTTATCAACACTTGTCATTTCTGGCATTTTTTTTAATATGGATTGGAAGAACTAGCATTGTTAAAATGGTCATCCTACTCAAAGCAATATACAGATTCAGTGCAGTCCTTACCAAGGCTGCTGTGACATTCTTCAAAGAAATAGAACAAGTATTACTGAAATTCAAATGGAACCACAAAAGATCTAACTAGCCAAAACTTGACAAAAAAGAGCAAGAGTGGTGGTATCACATGCTCAGGCTTAAAACTGAACCACAAAGCTATAGTAAATAAAACAGTATGGTAGTAGATGCAGAGATAATTAGGATACAATTGAGAGCCCAGTTAATCTACAACAAAGGAGTCAAGTGTAGGGCCTCCCAGGTGGTTCAAGAGGTTAAGCACCACACTGTGAAGCAGTCCACAGCCTCTGCAGCACAAGTTTGATCCCTGTCCAGCCAGGGAGAAACCCACATGGCATGGCAGACCTCTCCTGTCTTGCCTGCTGCTCCCCTTGGCAGTGTATTTCGGTCAGTCTACCTGTTCTGTTCCCCACTCTGTCTCTGGTGAGCAGTCTCACGCCCTGCATCTCTGGCCTGTACCCCAGCTCTTGTATGCATAAATAAATAAATCTTTAAAAAAAGGAGTCAAGTGTACACAATAGTGAACAGAGATTTTCTTCAAAAAATAGTTTCAAAAGAACTGTACAGCAACATGTAAAATAATGAAAAAAAGATCACCAGCTCACACCTTATACAAAAATTAGCTCAGATGCATTAAAGGCATAGATGTAAGACTTGAAGCCATAAAATTCATGGTTTGAAGAAAAGACATGGCAAAACATGCTAGAACATCAACTTCAGTGCTATCTTTATAGATTTGTCTCAAATGGCAAAAGAAAAAAGTAAGTAAATAAATGGCACTACATTCAAGCTAAAAATCTTCCATGCAGCAAAAGAAACTATCAGTAAAACAAAGACACCCTTCTGAATGGCAGAAAATATTTGCATATCATATTTGCATATCACATTTCATATATGCAAAATATTTGCATATCACAGAGGGCTGATAACCAAGATATACAAAGAACTCATGCAGCTTAACAAAAAAGGAAGACAACAAACAAACAAAAACAAGCAAATAATGGTCAGGAGAGCTAAGTAGACACATCTCCAAGAAGACATAAGGGATGGGTTACAGGAATATGAAAAAAAAAATGCACATCATCAGAGAAATGCAAATAAAAATGACAATGAAATACCATCTCACAACTGTGAGAATGGCTCACATCCTTCTTCTGTTGTTACTAAAACTTTTACTTAGTTAATAAAAAAAGTCTCTAGATGTAAGTATAGATTTGTATCATACATTATTCTTGTGTGAATGTAGAAATATAAATAGAAATGTCATTTATTAGCTTGACTTTGCTGAATTGTTCAGCAACTCTGAGTTATCCATAAAATGCCTGATTGCTCAGTATCATTTTTTGGGAAGTCAGAAGCACTGAAAATGCATTCTCTTTTTTTCCTTTTTTTCTTGCTCATTCTCCTTAATTTTTAAATACACACTTGCACGTGTATGTGTGTGTGTGTGTGTGTGTTTGTCTGTGTCTATCTTATAGAGGTAACTGGCTTACAACACTATATATGATTCAGAAGTACAGTTTTACACCTTTCAAATGTTATCACACCTCTAAGCCTCCCATAATTCTTTACAAAGTCCACTCCCAAATCTACTTCCCCTCCTTTGCCTCTGGTAGCCTCAATTCTATAGTCAGATTTTTAGGGGTTATATTGTTTCAGTTTTGTTTCCTCACTTTTTTTGTTTCTCTGTATTCTACATGTGAATGAAATAATCTGGTGTTTGCCTTTCTCCATCTGACTTACTTTGCTTGGAAGCATCCTTATAGAATATCTTCCATTGTACCTGTGCAAGTTTCTCTAGTCCTGTATTACCAGGAATATACTTGCTAAAATTAAGATTTCTGAAATTTGGTAGCTAATGCCAGTTTATTTCCAATGTGCTGGATCCATTTACATTCCATCAGCAGGATATGCACTTTGCTGTCATTCTATATTGACAATATCCAGAACTATTAGTCTTTTTTTTATAGCGTGGTTACCCTATGCTATTTCATTATATTTGGCATTTCATTTTAGCTGATGGAAATAAGCATTTTCCAGTTATTTTCTTACTTGTGTTTCTGATGTGATGAAATGTTTGTCCACATCTTCATTCATTTTTGTGTGTAACTACATGCACTCTCTTTGTTCTATATAATGACACTAGCTGTTATTGCAGAAATCTTCAAATTTGTGACTGCAGAATATCAAGGAATTTGATTAGCATTTGCCTAGTATGACTTTTTCCATCCCTTTATTTCTAACCTTTTTTGTAACCTTATGTTTTAGGTGTGTCTATTTCAAAAACCAGAGTCATCTTTCAAACATATCTAACCTGACAGTTTTTGTTTTATAGCTGGAGGTATAATCTGTTGTCATTCATTGTGTTAGTGTACTTTCTTTGTCTTTTCATCTTATTCATCTTATTTTGTACATTTTATACATTTGTCACACACCCTCCCACCCTTTTTTGCCTTTTTTAATTAAAGGTTTATTGGGAATAGTTTCCCCTCACACCATGTTGTTTCCTCTGTACTATTTTGGAAGTTTCACAATAAATTTCCTTTATTGCAGTGTGTACTTGGAAATTAAATCGCCTACATGTTTAATTTCTTCCAAAGTTAATTGCATATTTTCTTCCTGAATACAAGAATCTTAAGATGTGGTCATTCTCATCATCCCTCTCATCATATAAATTGTTTTTATTGCAGTATCTTAGTTCTTACTTAAAAAATAAGTTAGATAGTATTACTGATGTTTTGTGCACTCCAGCTTTGTTTAGATTTATGCAGGTTTATCTTTTTTTCATCAACTTTTTTTTTTTTGTTTGTTTTTTTGTTTTTTTTTTAAGATTTATTTATTTATTTATACAAGCACTGGGTACAGTCAGAAGCGCGGGAGGGTGAGAGAATTCACTAGAGCCAGAGCGGGGAACAGAACAGCCAGACTAACGAAATAGACACTGCTAAGGGGAGCAGCAGATACGGCAGGAGAGCTCTGTGCACCATGTGGGACCCTCACTGGCATGCCAGGAATGGAACCAGCACTGCAGAGCTGCGGGCAGCTTCTCAGCCCAGCACTCAACCGCGGTACCACTGGGGAGGCCCTTTTTTGTTGTTTTTCAGCCCTTCTTTCATGGCTTATTTTTTTCTCATGGTATTTTTTTTTCTTTTTAAAATTACTCTGGTGATGGTAGTGAATATTGTTTATTATTTTCTGAAGTTATTTTAGTATTGGTGTTGGTATATTTTTTATTAGATATACAATTCTAGGTTGATAGTTATTATTTTTTAGCAATTTGATATACTCCACTGCCTTCTTTCTGCGGATTAAAGTTAACAGTTATTCTAAGTCTCGTGTCTTTGAGTTAAATTGTTTTATCCTTATGACTATTTTAAGAATTTCTCTTTTCCATTGATATTTTTCTATGCCCGTAGTTTCACTGTTACTTGTTTAGCTTGTGTGTTTGGTTTTCCTACTTAATATTCAATCTTTTTATCCCCCAATTTTACTAAGGTAAAATTAACATAGAACATTAAGTGAGTTTAAGGTATACCACCTGTTAATTAGTTGTTGTTTTCCCAGGGGAGAGCATGGACACAAGCACAGTCCTCTACTACCACAAATTATGTAGTTGAGTTTCCCATATTTGGGGAAATTGTGGAAGTCAGCACATTGGGAGTGCGATGGGGCACCTCACCCTGAGAAAACCACCTTTGTGATCATGGTATCTCCCCTGACTGGTAGGTGTCATCCTGATAATTTGATACACTTATATATTGTAAAATTATTACCACCATAGCATTAGCTAACACCTCCATCATGTCACATCATTATGATTTCTTTTTTTGTGGTGAACACATTGACTATCTACTAATTTCTTAGCAGTTTTCAAATATTTAATGCAGCATTGTTAACTATATATTAGATCCCCAAAATTCAGCCATCTGATAACTGAAATTTTGTTACCTTGGGCCATAATTTAAAATAATAATATAGGGCCTCCCCTGGTGGCGCAGGCGGTTGAGCGCCACACTCTGAAGCTGTCCACAGCCTCTGCACCACTGGTTTGATCCCAGCTGGCTGGCCGGCGAGGGTTCCACATGTTGCAGCAGACCTCTCTTGTCTCGCTGGCTCTTCCCCTCAGTAGTGTATTTTGTCAGTTTGCCTGTTCTCTTCCTTTCTCTGTCTCTGGTGAATCCTCTCACCCTCCTGTGCATCTGGCCTGTACCCTGGTTCTTGTGTAAATTAATAAATAAATCATTAATAAATAAATAAAATAATAATATAAAATATTATGATATGTTAATAACATTTTAATAATAGTTATGTAATATATTGTTATAAGTATATGTATGTGTATATATCATATTGTCTTTCTCCAATCATTTGCTGATGGACACTTATGTTGTTTCCAAATCATGGCTATATTGAATAATGCTTGAATACAGTGAATACAGGAATGAAGATATATCTTTGAGACCTTGTTTTCATTATCTCGGTACATATAACCAGAAGTGGGTTGGTGGAATCATATGGTAGCTCTATTTTTGCTTATTTGAGGAACCTTCATGTTGTTTTCCATCTTGGCGATACCAACTTACAATCCCCCTTCAGTGTATAGGGTTCCCTTTTCTCCACATTCTTGCCACTAATTGTTATCTCTTGGCTTTTTGATGAAGCCATTGCAATAGCTGTGAGATGATATATGGTTGTGGTTTTCATTTGCATTAACTGATGGTGAGTGACATTGAGCATCTTTTCATATATCTGTTGACCATTTGTATGTCTTTTTTTAAGGAAGATGTCTATTTCTGTCCTTCTGCCCATTTCAAAATGCATTATTTTTTCTCCCTTTGAAATTTTTTAAAGATTTTTTTTTATTTATGCATACAAGAACTGGGCCACAGTCCAGAGGTGTGGGGGGTGAAAGGATTCACCAGAGACAGAGTGGGGAACAGAACAGGCAGATTGACTGAAATACACTGCTGAGGGGAGCAGCAGGCGAGTCAGGAGAGGTCTGCTGCACCATGTGGGTATCTCCCAGGCCGGGAATCGAACTCGTGCTGCAGAGGCTGCAGAAAGCTTCATAGGTTGCGTCTTAAACCCTTGCACCACCAGGGAGGCCCCTCCCTTTGAGATTTATGAATGCTGTGTTTTGGATGTTAACACCTTATCAAACACATGTTTTATAAATATCTTTTCCATTCAACAGTTTGCCTCTTCATTTTGTTAATTCTTTCTTTTGCTGTGCAGAAGCTTTTTAGCTTGATATAGTCCCACTTATTAATATTTTTATATTTGTTGCTTGTGTTTTGTTGTCGTATCTGAAAAGTTATAGCTAAAACTAATATCACTAATCCTTTTCCCTATATTTTCCTCTAGGAACTGTTATGTTTAAGTATTTAAGTATTGTGTTTAAGTATTGTGAGTGGTGTAAAATACGACTCCACTGTTCTTATGTGGTTTCCAGTATTCTCTACACAGTTTATTGAAGAGAATGTTCTTCTCCCATTGAGTCCTCTTAACTCCCTTGTCAAGTATTATTTGAATATATGTATCGGGGTCTCTTTCTGATCTCTTGATTCTGTTCCATTGCTCTTTTTGTCTCTTTTTATGCCAGGACTATACTGTTTGATTATATAATTTTATAATTTAGTTTAAATCATAAATGTGGTGCCACCAATTTTGACCTACTTTCTCAGAATTGTTTTGACTAGTTGGGTTTTTGTGGTTCCATGCAAATTGTGTTTTGTTTTTTTTTTTTTTTCTGTTTCTGTGGAAAATAACTTTGGGATTCAAAAAGAAAATAGGAAGTAAAATTATCTTCCTGTCAGTAATTTTTCTATTTTTTCCCCTAAATATTTAGCGATCAGCTACTATGGCCCAGGCACAGAGGATGTATTAGTGCCCAAAACAGACAACTCCCTGCCTTTTTCCTAATAGACAAATAAGCAAATATATATGTAATATCAGAGGATAAATATGCATTGGGGAAAAATCAAGGCATGGAGGATGCTTTCTACAGACTGATGAGTTGATGTTTGGGCAGAGATGTGAGGAAAAACTAGGGAGGAAAGAATCTATACATAAATGTGGTAGAGGAATATTCCAGACAGATGGGAAAATTTGTTCAATGACTTAAATGGAAGTATGCTAAGGCACTTTGGGAAAAGTTGGAGGCCAGTGTGGCTTCAGCACAGAAAGTGAAAGGAGTGAATGGTGGAATGAGGGTTAAATTATGTGGCCTTATAGGTCATTGCAGGGATTTCAGCTTTTATTCTAAGTGAAATTGGAATCCATTTAAAGATATCGAGCAATATTATCTGACTTTTAAAAGTCAGGTTGTTGAGTGTAAATTCTGATTAGTGAGACCTTTGCTGAGAATAAACAGTAAGGGTATAAAGGACTGAAATAGAGTTAGTCCATTAACTCTGGAGATGACAGATACTTACACCAATATGTAACTGTGTAGATATGAGATATGAGAAAACTGGAGTCTAGATTTATTTGAAGTCAAAGCCAATGAAGTTTGCTGTTTGGTTGGGTGAGATGTGAGGATTAAAAGAGAATGCAAAACAACTGCTAAGCTTGGGATTTGAACAATCAGAAGAAAGGAGTTTCCATTTATTGAAATGGTAAAGACTGAGGGTGGAGAGTAGTTTGAGGAGTCATGAAAGAACTCAATTTGGACAGTTCATTTTGAGATAAATATTAGATATACAAGAGGAGACACTGAGAATATAGTAAGATATAAACCTCTGAATTTTGAAATGGTTCTAGGTAGAGATAAATGTGTTGGGGGGTTATCAGACTATAGATACTGTGTCATCTAGATGTTATCCCCATGAGGAAGGTTCTCCTGACACCTCAGTTCAGAACACAAAGGGGAGAAAGAACAATAGAACATCGGCAGATAGAGGGGACTAGAAACCAGAATTGATTCTTATTTCTACTCATCAAACTGCCTCTAGACTTGAGAATCCTGTTGTAGATCTAAGTGAATTACTTCTCACTTGCCAAAGCAGGCTTAGATTTTGGACTTACCTCCATCACAATAGTCAGCACACTGTATGGTTTGATAAATTGTTATTTTTTTTAAGTTTTCATCCCCAAATTGCCTTATGTACAACTATTAATGAACCTATCTCATTTTATGAAACACTGGGATGGATGATATCCCAACCCAGTCTAGAATTCACAGGTCCATTGAGTCATACAGATAAATACTGAGGTAACGAAGAAAGGAAAATTTCTTGGTGACATTGGGAATTCTCAGTTAAGTCATGTGCTGGGAATAAAAATGAGATGAACTTTAGGTTGCCTGGGATTATCGAGCTGAATTCTAGCACATGACTGGCATGGTATAAACTCAATAAATATTTATGAGATAATTCAGTTTTCTAGCAGGCTTGACCTGAGTTAGATGTCCCTGAAATTCAGCTTTTAAATCACAAACTACTAAATAAACCAAGTTACCAGTGTTTTCATTCATAGTGTTAGTTTACATATGTCAAAAAACTCAGCATGAACATATTGTGTGCCTGCTGTTACTAGTTCTTTAGTAGCAAGTTTGCTTAGGAGAATAGGGTCAGGATTTCATGGTAGAGTCATTAGAGGCAAGGGCATTTCTCTGAATAGTGTAGTATCTACAGAGCACACTAAAAATATGTCCTAAACAGTCTCAACACTTGCTTACCAGTGGACAGAAAATTCAGAAAATCAAAGAACCACTCCATACCTGGCATGGTAAAGTCCCTTTTGGGTTGGAGAGCTGTTTGTATGGCTATCTTTTCCCAGGAACAGAAGACAGCATCCTTTTTTCAGTTCCTGTTTATTTTGCAGCAATGAAAGCCTTTCCCAACAGCAGTTAATGAGAATTTCAGAAATACTGGATATCTTGAGACAGCTTTATGTATCCACTGTCCACCCAAATTAAGAATTCAAGCATGGTTTCAGGTTTTATGTCTAGTTCTTTAATCCATTAATCCTGGTGGGAGTGCAAAATGGTCCAACCACTATGGAAAGCTGTGTGGAGATTTCTTAACATACTAAAGATAGAGCTTCCATATGATCCAGCAACTCTACTCCTAGGTATTTACCCAAAGGACACAGAAACATTAATTCAAAAGGGCACCTTCACCCCTATGTTTATAGCAGCACTATTTACAATAGCTAAGCTGTGGAAACAACCCAAATGCCCAAAAATAGATGACTGTATCAAGAAGATGTGGTCCATATACACAAGGGAATATTACTCAGCAATCAAAAAATATAAACTCATGCAATTTGCAGCAACATGGATGGAGCTGGAAGGGATCATGCTCAGCAAAATAAGCCAGAAAGAAAAAAAGAAAAAAATACCAGATGGTCTCACTCATAACAGGAATTTAGAAAACCTAAATAAGGGACCAGGAAAAAGACTAATTTCAATAAAGTAAAAATCAAAATCAACAAGCAACTATAGACCAGAGATACACTATGGTGGGGGGTGGGGGGAGTAGAGGAGAGATTAGGGTAAGAATAAGGGGGGTGGAAATTTTATGGGGAATATAACCAAAATGAAAATGTGTACATTGTACAAAAATGAAAAATGATGTAAGAATTATATAAAATAAGATAATTTAATAAAAAAATACAAAAAAAGGTTTAATATAGAGAATAAAAAAAAAAGAATTCAAGCATGCAAGCATCAAGTAGCATGTTATGTAGTCTTCAAAGGGTGCCCACTCCATCCAGGGTGACCCAGAC